AATCTCAGTTTTGTCGTCTGTGAAATGGGAAAAATACACCCATTTCTGGGAGTTGTTTTGCAAAGTGGGAGGAAGTGCTTTCTGAACGAGAATATGTCCGCATGTATCGTTGTTCTGCCCCTCCCCCACCCCACTGCGATGCTCTGGAAGAAGTTAGGGGCTTGGGGGTTCTCTAGAGTGAGTAGCTTTCTACGTCTCCACCCCCACCTCTGACTCACTAACAGCAAGGAGGCCCAGGTCTCTTTCTTTGCTGGTTCAGGCTGTTCCCATTCAGGCAGAAAGGATTTGGGGTCAGGAAACGAAAGGTGTGGCACTCCCACCCGTTAAAGGGCCCCAGCCAGCCCCTCTGGTCCAGCAGGCTGGGACTTGCGTGCTTAGCCCTTCCCTTGCCTGGGAACCCACTCTTCCAGCTCTGACCTTAACCAAGTCATGGCCTCCCACGGGGTGGATGGGCTGTTCAGTCCCCTTCCCTGGCTCAGCCCTCCCACCCAGGTGAGACACAGGCCTTGCTCAAGATGTGCCCTGGAAGGAGGAACAACCTCTTCATCTGCCTCCTCCCAGAGCACCCAGGAGGGCTGGCTCCCAGCCTGCACCCCGGCTTTCCTTCCCAAAGCACAAGAGGAAGCCAGAGGACTCTGGAAAAGCAGTGACTCAGAGGGCTGCTCACCAAGCTCAATCTCTTCTCTGTGGGGCCATGCTTTCTTCCGCCTTCGACTCTAGGGGGCGCCAACCACATTGACTACAATGGGAATGCTGCTTCCGCATCGCACAATGAAACAGTGGGCTTCTGCCCGCTCCCAACTCAGGCCAGCCCGATGCTTCTGCACAGGCATCCTCTGATCCTGACCCCTTTCCATCCCAGGTGATCCAAGGAGGGCTGACAGGAATAAGGGGCCCTTGGAAGGTATTGCAACCTTCCCCTTCCTCCAGCTAGAGTCCTCTCACATTCACTAAGAAGCAAGACGACCTAGCCATATCTTCTCAGCTCCAATTCTAGCCATTCCAATGTGTGTGTGTATGTATATGTATGAACATGTGTATACACACGAGCTGTGGACATGAATGAGTTTGGTGGGAGTTCACGGAGTCATGGTCCTGAAGGTTGGGCCCTGATGGGGGGGGTGGAACAAGGGCATTGAGACCCAGCCCTTGTTCCGATAACTAAACAACTGACTTGGCATGCGGCTGCATTGACTGGAGGGTATTGCAAAGATGCTCTATGGTGAACTGCGGTCAGGGTAGATAGGCACATTCATCCATGCATATATGGGTGAGTAAATGTAGCTGCATATGTGTAAATAAATGCTCTGGACATGAATAAGACATACAAATCCACAGTTGTGTGTGTGACTAGCTTCTTCCTGGTGCAGCCCATGAGAAAACACATGTGAGGTGAATGCAGACAGATGTGTGTGCAGGTTGCTTTTTATTTGTTTGCTTTTTGAGACAGAGTCTTGCTCTGTTGCCCAGGCTGGAGTGCAGTGGTGTGACCTCCGCTCACTGCAACCTGGGCCTCCTGGGCTCAAGAGATTCTCCTGCCTCAGCCCGCCACCATGCCCAGCTAATATTTTTTTTCCTGCCATCATGCTTGGCTAATTTTTTTTTTTTTTGAGACAGAGTTTCCACTTTTTTTGCCCAGACTGGAGTGGAATGGCGCGATCTTGGCTCACTGCAACCTCTGCCTCCCAGGTTCAAGCGATTCTCCTACCTCAGCCTCCCAAGTAGCTGGGATTGCAGGTGCATGCCACCACGCCTGGCTAAATTTTGTATTTTTAGTAGAGACGGGGTTTCATCATGTTGTCCAGGCTGGCCTCGAACTCCTTTCCTAAAATGATCTGCCTGGCTCGGCCTCCCAAAGTGCTGGGATTACAGGGATGAGCCACCATGCCCGGCTGCAGGTTGCTTTTATAAGGGATGAGGAAAAGAAAGAAAAATTAGAAGTGTGTATAGGAGCCTTGCTTGTGCCTGCTGGTGGAAGAGCTGTCCCTGTTTTTCTCCCCTGTTCTGGTTCCCAGGCTAGATTTGAATGCCAGCAGGCCCAGGATGGGACAGGGTGAGGATGGGGTGTTGTGGGCTGGGGTTCCCCATTTTCTTTCAGTGTTGAGGAGTCCCTTGAGAGTTTCTGCCCTGTGCTGCCTTTGCAGCTCCACTCGAGACAAGGATGGGCTGGAAGCACATTATAGGGTTGGGAGAATAGGGGGCAGCATGGCAGGGGTGCTCCGCCACTCCCATAGCCTGTGATCTGGGCTCTGGCACCAGGAGTCTATGGTTCTGTCTTGAGTCACAGGCTGGCAGTGGGGCCAGCGGGCAGGTACTCAGTGATGGCTCCCTGATTCACCGTGGAGCCTCCCAGCCCAGGGAGGCCTGGAGGGTGGGTGTATGTTTCTGGGTCAAGGGTCATCAGAATCCTCGTGTGGGGGTTCTATGTATGTGTGTGCCCATGTCGAGGCTCTCATGTGAACGGGATCCCTGAGCATGGAGCAGAGCTCAATGTCGATAGGCAAGTGTGTGACTGCAAGCCACAGGGTGTGTGTGTGTGTCTGTTTGTGTGTGTGTATGCACAAGTGCCTGCATGTATATGAATCTACTGTATGTATATTGCTAAACCCATCTCCTTGGGCAGGAACCACCTCTGGACTGGGAGCCCTTATTTCTTTTCTTTTCTCTCTTAATATGCCTATTTAGGCCAGGTGCGGTGGCTCATGCCTGTAATCCCAGCACTTTGGGAGGCGGAGATGGGTGGATCATCTGAGGTCAGGAGTTTGAGACCAGCTTGGCCAACATAGTGAAACTCTGTCTCTACCAAAAAAAAAAAAAAATAAAAAAAAAAAAAAAATATATATATATATATATATGTATACACACACACACACACACACACACACACACACACACACAAACTGGCCAGGCGTGGTGGTAAATGCCTGTAATCCCAGCTACTCGGGAAGCTGACGCAGGAGAATTGCTTGAACCCAGGTAGTGAGATCTCACTGAAACCTCCGCCTCCCAGGTTCAAGCTATTCTCCTGCCTCAGCCTCCTGAATAGCTGGGATTACAGGTGTCTGCCACCCATGCCCAGCTAATTTGTTGCATTTTTAGTAGAGATGGGATTTCATCATGTTGGTCAGGCTGGTCTTGAACTCCTGACCTCAGGTGATCTACTGCCTTGGCCTCTCAAAGTGCTGGGATTACAGGTGTGAGCCACCATGCTTGACCAGGAGCCCTTATTTCTCATAGCCATTCCTCAAGGGACAAGTCCTCAGGATCATTAGCTCACCTGGATTAAGTCCCTCTGGAAAATGATTTATTTGATCTTCTCTGGCAATGCTGCCATAGAAGCCTGGTGTGAAGGCATGTTCTTTCCTCCCAGGCCACCAGATGTTTTCTTGTTAAAAGCAGCATATAGGGCAAGGTAGCACTTGGGGAGGCTGAGGTGGGAGGATTACTTAAAGTCAGGAGTTTGAGACTAACCTGGGCAACATAGCAAGATCTTATTTTTACAATCAATTTTTAAAAATTAGCTAAGTATCATGGTAGCACAGTCTGGAGGCTGAGGTGGGAGGATTGCTTGAGCCCAGGAATTCAAGGCTACAGTGAGCTATGATTGCATCAAAGCCTGGGTGATACAGCAAGATCCTATCTCTTGAGAGAGAGAGAGAGAGAGAGAGCGCACACGAGTGCAAGGTTTTCCCATGGTCCCCCTCAGATGTGGCTGACTCCCCCACAATTAAGTTTGTTTAAAGAGACAGGCTCGCCGGGCGTGGTGGCTCAAGCCTGTAATCCCAGCACTTTGGGAGGCCGAGGCGGGTGGATCACAAGGTCAAGAGATCGAGACCATCCTGGTCAACATGGTGAAACCCCGTCTCTACTAAAAACTACAAAAAATTAGCTGGGCATGGTGGCGCGTGCCTGTAATCCCAGCGACTCAGGAGGCTGAGGCAGGAGAATTGCCTGAACCCGGGAGGCGGAGGTTGCGGTGAGCCGAGATCGCGCCATTGCACTCCAGCCTGGGTAACAAGAGCAAAACTCCATCTCAAAAAAAAAAAAAAAAAAAAAAAAAAAACCAACAAAAAAACAACTTTTCCTTGGCCAGGGATAAGCCAGATGGGACAGGAGAGGGTTAAAAACAGCTGGAACTCACCCTGCTGGCAAGCATGTGGCATGTGGCATGTCAGGGCAACTGCAGCTCAGCCTCTGGAGCCATGAGAGCAATGCGTGCAGGTACATGTGTGACCAGCTCAGGTAACCCAGCCATGTTCAATAGGCATGTGCACAGCCACGAGGAATGCCCAGCCATATGATCAGGCACACAGGACATCCACCATGTGTGGACACAGCAGTGGACATAGCTGGCCAGGACATGCCACACACCAGGTGCTCACAGCACAAGGAGAAGGGCCCATGAAGGCTTGCTGGAACTCAGCACATGTATCTGTGTGCCCAGCTAGGTCTGGACTGCTGCCTCCCTGACACAAACTGTCCCCTTGAAGGGTCCATGCCTATCTGTCCTCATAGAAGAGACAGGATCTCGTCTCAGTTGGGGTCCACAGCCCCCTCCCTCCTTTCCTGAATGGAGTACCTGTTGGGTCTAGTCAACCTGGAGAGATGAGGCCAGTTCCTTTCTGACAGGTCTCCTCCTGTCCCCAAGGAGGTGGGGTGATCACCGGGCCCAGGTGGTCTCTATGACAGCTGCCTCCTCTCCAGCCATGGCCCTGGACCCTACCTATACTCCCACCATTGGCTCTCAGATCTGCCTAAGCCTCTCAGCCCCCATGACGCCCCCTCCTCTAAGTGCCCTCCGAGGTCCACCCCTCCCTCAAAGCTCCTTACTCTCCAGGCCCGCACCCGCCACCCCCTGCCACCTTCCTCACCAGCTCCCCCCACCCTGCCTCCGCCCCAGCTTCTCAGCCCAGGTGGGGCGAGGTCGCAGGGGCGCCCACTCCTCCGCGCCCCAGGGCTGCAGGGCGGGGCTGCAGGGCGGGCGGGGCCGGGGCGCACTGCTATAAAGGGCGCCACCTGCGCTGGAGGCCGCTGCTCGCTGCGCCCGGTGCCTCCCGCTGCCCGTGCCCGCCCGACAGCGCCGCCGCCTGCCCCGCCATGGGTCGACAGAAGGAGCTGGTGTCCCGCTGCGGGGAGATGCTCCACATCCGCTACCGGCTGCTCCGCCAAGCGCTGGCCGAGTGCTTGGGGACCCTCATCCTCGTGGTGAGTGGAGGGAGCCGGGGAAGCCCTTTTCTCTCCAGTCCTTGCACTCCCCAAACCCTCACTTCCCCAAAGGGACTGTGCTTTCCAAGGTAGCCTGGACCCACCTCCCCAGCTCTGACCTCCATGCTAAACCCCGGAGGGTCAGGCTGACTTCCAAAGTCTTCTTCCCCATGGTTCTAACCCCATCTCTGACAGCTCCGATTCTTGCCAGAATGACAGCTGTTACTCCTCAGTGACAGCACCGATCGTTTACCCTCGCACGAGTGACTCAGCCCACAGGCTGAGGACAGTCTGGGACTGCCAGCCACTTCTCCAGCCTCCACAGCCCTCCAGGTTCCCAGAGTCCTAACCCTCAAAGGCAGGGGAGAGGGTGGAGGCAAATGAGCCATTATTAGGTTATTTGGGTTCTGGGTGTCTGGCCTCTAATGAATAATTAAGCCTCAAAAAGTCCAAAAGTTGCAGTGAGTGAGGACAGTTTGCCACCGCCGGGGCAGAGGGCAGAGGCCACATGGGCTGCAAACAGCAAAGCGGGAAGGGAGGCAGATTCTGATGGTAGGAGGGTGGGCTAAAGGTAGGCGCAGACACAGAGGACAGGTGTCTAAAGTTGCTCCCCTGCTGCTGAGTGACCCCCAGACCCTATCTGCTACCCAGACAGATGCTGTCAGCATCTGTGCAGAAGGCTGCAAACGTTTTGGTTATTCCCTGACTTCTTGGTTACTCTGTGGGTTCTCTGAGTGAGTTATTTCCCTGGCTGGGTTACTCCTCAGTCCTAGTTACTCCTTGGTGACATCCGTTTCACCCTGGTTTTGTTCTGGGTGGCTCTGTTTGCACTTCTTAGGTCTGGCAGACACACCAGTTATAGTTTTATTTCCTGTCCCAGTTACTTGCTGATTTTCAGCCGCTCATGTGGTTACACCTGCTTTCCTCTGGGTTCAGCTTCTACATTTCAGTGGGTGGGTTACTCCATTCCTGCCCCAGCCCTAGGTAGTACAGAGCAGCTGGCCTGCTGTGGACTAGGACGCTTAACTAAGGGCAAGTAGGGCTCCCCAAGTCGGGGAGGAGCAGGATCTGTGGGCAGAGGACAGCTGAGACCCGCTTCTGGCTTCCGAGAATGGAAGTTGGGAAGCCACTGGGGGAAATTTTAACCACAGCCTCCCATAAGATGAGTGGTCCTATCAGCCAGCCCTACCCTCTCTCTCCTGTGCCAAGAAGGCAATGGGAGGTGGCCTTATCGCCCTCTTGCCTTGGAGCCCCCACTCCTATCTGAGTCCTGAGTCCAGCCACCTGTTTTACAGCAGTCAGGCCAGGGGACAATGGTGCCTTCTAGTTTCCTAGAGGGGCCTCCTCATTCCCTCCCAAGCCTCAGTTCACTCTCCCACAAAGGAGCAGTTCTCCCACTGAGCCCCAGGATCATCAGGCTTATTCCAGACCACAAAAGAAGGGTGTTAAATTTGTGGAGAAGGCTGACAGGCTCAGATGGATGTGAGGTATTGGATATCAGTGAGAAGCAGAACTTCAATGACTGCATAAACTGAAGGGGCCAGGCCTGGGGGTCCCTGTGTGGTGGGTGAGTGCCTGCCTGCACACCTGTGTGTTGGGAGCCTAGGCTTGCAGTGGCAGAGTCAGGGTTGGCTTTGGGGTGAAGAAAGCCCCTTTCTCTGAGATAACTGGTGCAAGGGGAGGCGGCAGGTGCTGGCCAAGAACTTGGGGCAGGGGGGTGGGAGAGGAAGAGGAAGATTAGCCTCAAGGTGGTGGAACTGGCTCTGACAGCTCCTCCCTCCAAGGCCTCCTGGGATGGAGCCAGGTCTGAGCCTCTGGCAGGTAAGGAGCTGAGGCCAGGGCTTGCCAAGCAGGGCAGGGCACCCCAGACCCCCACATGCCTGTCTCCCACCACCCCTCCTCACACATACACCTGCAGTCTTTGATCTTTGCTCTCACTGGACTGCACACCTTTGCCCCATGTCATTGCTGCTGGGTTCTCCATTATCTCTTGGTCTTTCTGGGATGATAATCAAAATGCTTAACAATCTAGTACAACAGGCACTGACCCATCAGAATAAACAGGGCCCTTAGCACAGGTCCTGGAAACTGCCTGCTCTGTGGGCATAAAACCTTTAGTTATGAGCAGGTGGGAGAGGAGACCTGGGGAAGGCATTGGAGCAGCTTTGAGGGACACTCAGGGTGCTCAGGGCAACAACTCTTCACAGCTGCTGCAGAAGTATTTTCAGGCTTGAACAACAGACATAATACGTTCTTTTTCTTTTTTTAAGTAGAGACAAGGCTGGGCACAGCAGCTCACGCCCGTAATCCCAGCACTTTGGGAGGCCGAGGCAGGCGGATCACCTGAGGTCAGGAGTTCAAGACCAGCCTGACCAACACGGAGAACCCTCATGTCTACTAAAAACACAAAATTAGCCAGGCGTGGTGGCACATGCCTGTAATCCCAGCTGCTCGGGAGGCTGAGGTGGGAGAATCACTTGAACCCGGGGGGCAGAGGTTGTGGTGAACCAAGCTCACACCACTGCACTCCAGACTGGGCAACAAGAGCAAAACTCTGTCTCAAAAAAACCCAGTCTCAAAAAAACCCAAAAAAACCACAGAGATAGGGTCTCACTATGTTGCCCAGGCTGGTCTCAAACTCCTGGGTTCAAGTGATCCTCCCATCCCAGCCTCCAAAATGCTGGGATTACTGGTGTAAGCCACCACAGCGGGCTCTGTTATGTTCTATATTTGCAGACCACCAGGGCCCTTAGTCTCTTTTAGTTCTCCTATTCTTGGCAGAAAGTTTAGAACCGATCTCTTCATTTCTACTGCCCTGGGTCCCGGACTGGGAATAGTGAGAGGAGCCATTCAGATCCCTGTCTGTAGGACCTCCAAATCTGAGTGGGGAATCTGGACCCCTGAGAGCAGAGAGATTGTGGGTGGAGAGAGGAGGGCCTGGGACAGGGACAGGCAAAGGAAGGGGAGGGTGCTGAGAGGGGGATATGGCGAGGGCTGGGGCTCTGGCCTCCTGGATTCAGGAGCAGTGGATTTACCTCACTTCTGGTCTCCTCCCTGTTTATCTGTACCCCCCATTGCCACCACCACCACCACCACATGAGCTTTTCTAACTGTTTTGTTTTTTTTTTTTTTTTTGAGATGGAGTCCTGCTCTGTCGCCCAGACTAGAGTGCAATGGCGCGATCTTGGCTCACTGCAACCTTTGCTCCCCGGGTTCAAGTGATTCTCCTGCCTCAGCCTCCCGAGAAGCTGGGATTACAGGCACCTGCCACCATGCCCAGCTAATTTTTGTGTTTTTAGTAGAGAGGGGATTTCTCCATGTTGGTCAGGCTGGTCTCAAACTCCCGACCTCAGGTGATCCCCCTGCCTCGGCCTCCCAAAGTGCTGGGCTTACAGGTGTAAGCCACTGTGTGCGGCCCACATGAGGTTTTTTTGGGGGCAGCTAGGGGATGAGTGAGAGATTTCTCACTCTATGGTCCAGGCCTGAAGGGCCACAGATAAACTGTGCTAAGGTGAAAACTGTTTCCTGACACCTACTCCTGCTGGGATTCAAGGAACATCAGTGAAGATGGTTCAGTCATCTTCTGGGGTCTCAGTCATAGGCCCTGCTTCTAGCCTGTTCCATAAGGCCCTCTTATGTTAGGGTTTGGACAGTGGGGGTGGGAAGGCATGTATCCTTTTTCTGGAGACTGCAATTGCAGCTGAAGGGGTTTGGGTTGGGTTCCAGGAAGGGCTCTTGTCCTCCCAGTGGTGGCAGGTGGGCAGGTTGCTGGCTTCACCCCTTCCTTCTGGCTCACCCTCCCTGCCTTGTTCTTCTTCCTGACAGATGTTTGGCTGTGGCTCCGTGGCCCAGGTCGTGCTCAGCCGGGGCACCCACGGTGGTTTCCTCACCATCAACCTGGCCTTTGGCTTTGCTGTCACCCTGGGCATCCTCATCGCTGGCCAGGTCTCTGGTAAGGTCTTAATCCTGCCCCTAGCCCTTGGCCCTCAATAGCATTCCCACTAGATGTCCTGGCATTCCTAAGGGCAGGTCATAGCTGTGGCCTCTGCTTTGGCCCCTTGGGAAAGAAGGGTAGAAAAGAAACTTGACACTTAGAACCTTCGACTCTCACCTTGGAATCAGTGATTATCAGTTGGCCTGTTATATAGACCAACTGTCATCCTGTGCAAGAAACCCCTCTCTGCACCCCTTCTCAGGGGACTCTAGCCTCCCAACTGTGGCAGGCTGCAGCTAACATGTCCCGTGTCCCCTCTGCCCAGGGGCCCACCTGAACCCTGCCGTGACCTTTGCCATGTGCTTCCTGGCTCGTGAGCCCTGGATCAAACTGCCCATCTACACCCTGGCACAGACACTGGGAGCCTTCTTGGGTGCTGGAATTGTTTTTGGGCTGTATTACGGTAAGCATTCCCCACCCTGTCCTCCTCCCTGTACCCCCTCCCTCTGTTCAGGACCTGCTGGCATTGGGCCTTTTGATGACAGACAGCAGCTAGGACCTGCCCAGGCCCCAGGCTCATGACTCACTCATTCACGCAAGGGGCCAAAGTGGGGGGCATGAGGAGAAAGAAACAAGTTGGGCAACAACAGAGTCTCAGGCCCTCCACCCCACCCCATGCCACCCCTTCTACCTGCTGCAATACAGCAGTATTGACACTTACCCGTAACCCCCGGGAAGGTGGAGAGGGCCCACCCGAGAGGGGAGGCTGGGCTCAGTCCTCTCCCCCACTCACTCTGGGTCTAATCTGTCACCAGATGCAATCTGGAGCTTTGCCGACAACCAGCTTTTTGTTTCGGGCCCCAATGGCACAGCTGGCATCTTTGCTACCTATCCCTCTGGACACTTAGATATGATCAATGGCTTCTTTGACCAGGTATGGGCTGGGGATGTGTGAGGGGAACACAGGGAGGGGACCAAGCTGCCTTGGTAGCTCATGGGCTGGCTGGGGGACAGGACTTCTTGACTGTAACAGGGTTTCTCAATCTGTCGGGTAATACCCATCAGGACATGTGGCAGGTACTTACAAAACGTGGCTGTGTCCAGCGCGTTCTCATGCACACAGACATTCCAGCACCATTGCTTTCAGGAGCAGAGCATGGGCAGGTGCTGATGGAGTCTAAGAGCTAGAGGGAAGGCAGGGGATGGAAGGAGGGGTCAGAGAAAGGGAGGGAGCTGCTGCTTACCCCGTTCTCCCCAATCCCCAGTTCATAGGCACAGCCTCCCTCATCGTGTGTGTGCTGGCCATTGTCGACCCCTACAACAACCCTGTCCCTCGAGGCCTGGAGGCCTTCACCGTGGGCCTGGTGGTCCTGGTCATCGGCACCTCCATGGGCTTCAACTCTGGTTATGCCGTCAACCCTGCCCGGGACTTTGGCCCCCGCCTTTTTACCGCCCTTGCAGGCTGGGGCTCTGAAGTCTTCACGTGAGTACAACTCCCACCCAGCTTGCCCCAGCCTGCCTCTCCTCTGCACTGCCCCCAACATCCTTGACCACAAGTGTCTGTCCCCATAGGACCGGCCGGCATTGGTGGTGGGTACCCATCGTGTCCCCTCTCCTGGGCTCCATTGCTGGCGTCTTCGTGTACCAGCTCATGATTGGCTGCCACCTGGAGCAGCCCCCACCCTCCACCGAGCAAGAGAATGTGAAGCTGGCCCATGTGAAGCACAAGGAGCAGATCTGAGTGGGCAGGGACCATCTCCCCACTCCGAGGCCCCGGCCTTGAGCAGCCACTGACTGTCCAGGGGCCACTCCCAAGAAGCCCCCTTCATGATCCACCCTTCCAGGCTACAAAGCTCCCTGTCTACCCTCACCCCACGAGACAGCCTCTTCAGGATTTCCACCGGCCTCGCCCAAATAGCACCTTGGGCGTGGAACCTGAAGTTGGGTCAATACATCCTTTTGTCTCCCAAGTGGACAGAATGGGCAGCAGGTATGTGTGTGCACGTGTGTGTGTGTGGTTTCCCAGCTATTCAAGACAAGGGACCAGTCGGAAGGGATTCTGGCTGTTGGGGAAGCCCAGAGACGAAGGAAGGCAGCCTGTCCATCTGTGCACGAGAGAGGAAAGTGCCAGAGTGTGTGTGTTTCAGGGGCTCCATATGGAGGAGCTGCAGATATAGATGTGTTTCTGCGTATGTGTCTGCCTTTTTTTCTAAGTGGGGGCTTCTACGGGCTTTTGTGAGGTAGGGTTGATATGGGTAGGGCTGGGAGGAGGGGCCGTGGCTCAGGTTTGGAGCTTTGGATGTACATACATAAGTAGGAGCTGTGGGACATCTTTCTGTCATAATGCAGGCATGAAGGGTGGGGTGAAGCCCAGATCATAAGTTTCATGTTTGCTTTTGTTTTGTTTTGAATGTATGTAGCAGATGTTACAACCTTAGGGATCAGGGTTGGGAGACCCCATGTTAGAAAGGGTCTTCACTCCTTTAATCCTCTACTCAACAATGTACTCTTTTATCTTTTATATTAAAAAAAAAAAACACCAATAAAATGTGTGCCTAAAACCTCCAGTTGTGCAACTATCTTGCTGCTTCACTGTGCCCACAGTAACCCAGGCTGCCCGGCTGAGTGTCTGATCTGGTCAGGTTACCCTGGGGGTCATACAGAGAGGTTAAAGAGCTTCTTCGCCAAGTCTCTCAGTTTGAGCTCACTGGTTGCAAACTTTCCCCCAAGCTTCCCTCCTTATGGGTATCCCCAGCATAATGAATGGAAACTTCTTCCCAATCCCTGTACCCACACATCACCCCAGGAAGGCTTGAGCCCCATGCAAGGAGGAGCTTGCTGCAGAGCTGTCCAAAGGGGAGAGCTGCTGCCCAGGAGGTGGTGAGTTCCAGGCTGCTGGAGGAGACTCATCAGACTGGGAACCTGCATTGTCCTCCACCGCCTGCAGCTGTTCAGGCTCCATAACCTCCACCCAGACCTTGGCCACAGCCCCCTGGCAGCCTCCCTGCCTCCAGGCCTGCCCCAGTCAGTCCACACAGCAACCAGGGAATCTCTTCAAAACCCCTGCTGAGGCTGGGCGTAGTGGCTCATACCTGTAATCCCAGCACCTTGGGGGTCCAAGGTGAGTGGATCACCTGAGGTCAGGAGTTCAAGGCCAGCCTGGCAAAACCCCATCTCTACTAAAAATACAAAAAAAAAAAAACAAAAAAAAAAAACCAGGCATGGTGGCAGGTGCCTGTAGTTTCAGCCACTTGGGAGGCTGAGGCAGGAGAAATGCTTGAACCCAGGAGGCAGAGGTTGCAGTGAGCTGAGATTGCACCATCGCACTTCAGCCTGGGTAACAAGAGTGAAACTCAGTCTCAAAAAAACAAACCAAAACAAAAACCTGCTGAAAGTGGGGCTCTTTCCATGGCTTTCTGTACCCATCTGGAGACCATCTACAACCCTCCATCTGGCATTCAGGCCCTCCAGGACCCGGCTCCCAGGCCTACCCCTCCTCTCACACGGTTCCATCCACCTCAGCCTACTTTGTGTGCTTCTCTGTTTTTGTATCTTCAGACTTTGCTCCAAAGCCCCAACTTACATCTTTGCTCATTGAAGTCCTCATGATCTGCTTTAATGCCTCTTCCTCCAGGAAGCCATTCCTGCTCTGCCTCACTCTTCCAGCTGTCGAAGTCACTGAGACCCACAGCTAGTCAGCTGTCGAAGCAGTGAGACCAGCATGTCGTGTTCATGCCTGTCTCCTGCTCTGCTTCATTTCTTCAGTCTGAGGCACCTCTGTGCCCAGTAAGGCACTGGCTTGGACTGATTGACTCTAGAACCCTGACTTGTCCAGAAAAGCAAGGGGCTCAGCATACCTGAGCCAGGAAGCTTTTCTCATTTTCTTCTTCCTTACTAGATCCTCAAGTTTCATCAAGGGAAACTTCATGAAATACAAGGGAAGGTGTCCCCTACTTAATCCCTCCTTGGAGTGAACCCCATGGGAGCCAGAGGATCGCCGGGTGTGACAGAATTGTGGTTTTTAGAAGCTAAGCCAGCTTTTTCTCTCCAGCCTTCATAGCTAAGACTATGGCCCAGAGAGGGTAGGTGGTAAAGACAGGGTCACACAGCCAAGAATCTGCCTGGGGAGGTAAGGGGAAGAGAAGGCAATTCCACTTTAGGTTTCTATCCCTTCTTTGTCCCCAGCTCCCAAGAGGCGTGTCTAGAATGTTGGAGGAATCTGAGCCAGAGGGAGTGTACCCTTCCCAGGCCCTGGGGGGAGGAAGGGCAAACCTTGGGAGGGGAATATGGCTGCAGAGTGTCATTCCAGCCACACCAGTCCCACCTGGGCTGCGCTTGCCTGGCTGTCCTCCCCAGCATGCCCCACGTCCTTCTGTCACCCATTTCTTTCAAATCCTGCTGCTGACCCTGACCAGTCAGCCCAGGGGGTGGTGGCAACCATTTTGGTGCAGTAATTAACGGGTAGGCAAACCTGGGTTCCTGGCCTAGCTAGGATTCTCTGTCCAGCTGGGTGACCTTGGGGTGGTCATGTTCTTTTCCTGAACCTCCTTTATCTGTGAATTGGGGGATATTGAGGAGTTAATGGAAGATGATTCATGAAAAGGACTTAACACAGTGACCAGCAGATGGTAAATCCTCAATAAATGTCACCTCATGATTTTTCCGGCAGAACCACAGATGGGGGTGGGGAGGCAGTGGAGGGAGGATGCTAAAGGCTGTTTTTTTTTTTTAAAGGTCGTTGAATTCAATATCCTCTTCCTTCTCAGCCTCCTTCCACAGATTCTGAATTTCCTGAGAAAGGGGAGGGAGGAAGTATGAGGGTGATAGTGTGCTGTGTCCTGACTGCAGAAGGCTCTTGGGAGAGATGGAGGGGAGGCAAGGGGGGCTCACACACACAGGATGCAGGGCAAAGCAGCATGCAGCTGCAGCCAAGGGAACGTGTTGGATGGAGGGTCAGGCCACGTGAGGGAGGGTAAGGCCCGACCAGGACCAGGAGAGGATCAGGGCAGGGGCTGATAGGAATGTGAGCCATGCAGCAATTGTGCGACCCCTCCGGGGGTAGGAGGCAGCTCCCCACCCCCAGGTGTACCTTCCACCAGCAGTTCTGGCTGTCAGAAAGTTCTAGCAAGACAACTCTTCATCTCCTTTAGGAAGGTATCTTCTCCCATTCCATGTAATCCATTTTCTGGGGAGGACATGGAGGGAGAATCCCCCCCCCTCACCCCTGTCCCTTCTTCCTGTGCTGAGCCATCTCCACAGCCCACTTTGGAGGAACCCATGTTTCCTTCAAATTCGGATCTGCTTGGGTTAAAATCAGGCTCTGTGAAACTTGAGCTTGGTTCCCATTTCTTAGTGTGCCGGCCTCAGTGTGTGTGCGCACATGGGCAAGTGTGCACTTCTTTTCTTTCCCAGAGACCAAGTCTCTCCCTGTCGCTCTGGCTGGAGTGTAGTGGCATGATCTCCACTCACTGCAAATTCTGCCTCCTGGGTTCAAGTGATTCTCCTGCCTCAGCCTCCTAAGTAGCTAAGGACCACAGGTGTGAGCCACTATGCCTAGCTAAGTTTTTGTATGTTTAGTAGAGACATGGTTTCACCATGTTGGCTGGGCTGGTCTCGAGCGCCTGAAAAGTGATCCGCCTGCCTCAGTCTCTCAAAGTGCTGGGATTACAGGCGTGAGCCACCGTGTCCAGCCAGCAAGTGTGCACTTCTCGGTGTTTCTGGTTGTGTCTTTCTTTCAGTGTATCTGGTTATGTCTCTGCGGGTCCACGCTTGTGGCAGGCCATGTCTCTGTCTCTTTTCATGTCTCTCTTACTGCCTACTCTTTGTGTGTGTCTGGGTCTTATTTTTTGAGATGGAGTTTTGCCACCCAGGCTGGAGTACAATGGCACAATCTTGGCTCACTGCAACCTCCACCTCCCAGGTTCAAGCGATTCTTCTGCCTCACACTCCTGAGTAGCTGGGACTACAGGTACATGCCACACACTCAGCTCATTTTTGTATTTTTAGTAGAGATGGGGTTTCTCCGTGTTGACCAGCCTGGTCTTGAACTCCTGATCTTAGATGATCTACTCGCCTTCGCCACCCAAAGTGCTGGGATTACAGGCATGAACCACCTCACCTGGCCTTGTGTTTGGGTCTTTGTGTACCTCTAAGCGAACATCCTGTGATTGTGACCCTTGGACCACGTCTCTGCATGTTTCTCTGAGCTCGTCTCTCTGTACCTGAGCACACCTCTGCGCCCGTCTCTCAGTGTGCTTGGGCACACCTGTGTGTGTACTCAGTGCAAATCTCTGTGTGCACCTACTCTCTGCCAGCCCAGTCCCGCTTGTGTTCCTCTAGGGCAGGCCTTAATTCCTGGTAATGAACTCCTTCCTTTCTCTTTCCTCTTCATTTCATTTTCCTGAAAACCTAGGTGGGGCACCTCTAGGCTTGGGAAAACATGGGTGGGGTAGAGTTGGGTGGGGTGGGAAGGGGAGTAGGAGGACTGCTCCACCTAGTGCAGAGACCCCAGGGGCCAGACACAGCCCCGATCCCCTGAGGAACAGTTCGTGAGGGTGTTGGCCTAAACAGGACCTTGAATCTCCTCGCTGGGAGGAGGAAGCCTGTCCTGGGGGTAGGACCCCTGAGCTGTGGGCCCTGGGAATGTGGTAGTGCAAAGAAAGGAGGGATGAAGATGGAGACACTGGGGCCACCAGGGAGACTGGAAGGAGGCTTCCTGGGCAGAACCTCGGAGTCCCACGGGGGCAGGGGAATGGGTGTGTCTGCCCTGCAGCTGGGGATGGGCTCCTCAGGGACGCGGCATCTCCATGCCCTGGGCTTTGGCCTTTGGTGCCAGGTTTGTTTGAGGTAAGGGAGGATTGGCAGTGGAAACACAGAGGCTGTGTCTGGTCTGGGCACCTAGGCTGTGAAAGGTGCCAGGAGAGACCACCTCCTCTTTGCGTAAAGGAGAAACTAGGGTCCCATCTAGAGACACAGAGCAGCGCTGCAGAGCCTGTACCAGACTGCAGCCTTTTTTTTTTTTTAAGACGGGGTTTCACCATGTTGGTCAGGCTGGTCTTAAACTCCCAACCTCAGGTGATCTGCCTGCCTTGGCCTCCAAAGTGCTTGGATTACAGGCGTGAGCCACCACGCCCAGCCGACCGCAGCCTTCTTAACCCCTTCCCCAGAGAGCACTTTGCAGCATCTCAGGGAGAACAGCTCTGAATGCAGATCACCTGGGTTCCAAATAAGCCCTTCCTAGCCACAAAACCTTGTGGGTGGGAGTCTCCATCTGCCCCAGATCCAATCTCTCTCCTGCTGTGTCTCAGGAGGCTAATCTCCATGAGAACATTCCTGGGTCTTCTTGCCCTCGGGCTTTGAGTTGGGTTTGGCAAATGGGAGACAGAGGTAGGAAAACAGAGGACAGGGAGGGTGGGGGGATAAAGGTCAGGGTATTCATGCCTTTTCCAGGGCTCTGGCTTTCCCTGCATTCTAGAACACTGCTCTCTCCTTGCCTCTTCTGGCTGAGGGGGAATGGCTGCTGTTGGTTAGTCCCCAGGCCATCTCTGATTGGTCCCCTTGACTTTACCGCCATCTCTGTAAATAGTCCTTTCTCAAGCTCTCTTCAGTGAAACCCTCAGAGGATACTATCTGTTCCTGCTTTATCCCGGACTGATGTCACCTCTCTGCACATTCATTTCTTCCTCTGAAATGGGGATAGTATCTACCTCATTAGGTTGCACAAGGTGGAGATTAGGTGGATTAACACAGGCATCAGAACAATGCCAGATATGGCAGTAAGGGCTTTCACAGTGGAGGCTGTAATGATGGTGATGATGACTCCTCCCGAGTTCCCTGTGTACTGTGGGGAGGGAAAGCGTGAAGACAGGCTTGGAAGTGACGCCTGATTCCCCAAGGCCATCTGCTCTAGTTCCGGGAGCTTGGAGCTTCTGTGGGGCCTTAGTCAGCCTGGGAGTCAAGCTCCAGTCCCTGCAGCTTTCCCTAGGCGGACTGGGCTTAGGTGGGATGAAAGCCAGAGCCTCTCTCACCCTAAGCCTTCTCCAGAAAATTCAGGCTTCTGAGAAAGGGAGGGCTGGGCATTCCATTCCCTCGTGTGGCTCAGGGGATATAGTAGGGTTGAGAATGGTGATGGTGAGGAATCTGGGGTTCAGAGGATGGTGTATGTGGGGTCATGGCCAGGAGTCAACCCCAGCAAAATTCCAATCTGTGTTTACTAACCTTGTTTCACAGCCTCCTATCAGGAAGTTCTTCCTGAGGTCTCATTGGCGTTCCACTTTAGCTCCTCAAGAACAGGGCAGAAACCAGGACAATTGCAGTGACTCTGGGGACCTCTTCCAGCTCTCACCAACAGAGTCCCAGCAACTGTGGGAGCCAGAAAAGGATCTGTGCCCCTTCCCAGACCCGTGTATGGTCAAAGCACAGGAAGCCCAAGGGACGCTAACGGGTGTCCTAGGGACACCTGAGATTGACAGTGGGGTAGGGCGATGAGTGAGCTGAAAATCAGCCACCTGACTTCTGTAAGGGTCCCCATCCCTCTACTGCCTTGGTCATACCTCCAGGTCAGAGTGAAATATAAGGTGTGCAGAAGGAATGGGTGGCACCGTCCCCTGCCTCCAGAGTTCTCTGGGGATAAAGCCTTATACCAGATCCAATCGCTTCAGCCAACTTCTTCCATTTCTTGCGTTGAGAAGCCACCTCAGGGACACTTCCATGGCTCTGTGGTCTCTGCCTTTTTCAGAAGCTCCTGTGAGGAGTAATGAGCTCTTGTCAGACTTCCTGGTGGGGCTTAGTGCTAAAGAGGTCTGGCTTGGAGAAACTGGGGGAGGGGACCCTGGGAGCTACGATAATCATCTTGATGTGGTCGGCTGCTTGTCTCCATGGAGATGCTCCCCACACCCGGGGAGGCACATGGAATGTCTGGCCACCACCCCGTCCTGTCCTTCACCTCTTGGTCCAGGGTCACTCACTGCCAGGGCTGGGCTGGAAAGCAACTGAGAGGAGGGGCGGCCTGCTTGAGGTGGGAGTCAGGTTGTGGGTTCCAGTCTCAGGGTGCTCATTCCTGACAGAGGTGACCTTTAGCTGGGGGAATCCCACTTCCATGTCAGGGCAGGAAGGGGAGAATGATCGCTGGCCTGTGGACAAAGTCTTCCCTTATCGGAAGATGGGCTTACAGCTTCGCCACCTTTGACCCTTGGAATGCATATATGCCCACATGCACATGAGGATGTGTCTGCTCTGATTGACGAAAGACTGGGCTTCGCACCCCCACTGGCTCATGTACACCCCACACATGGCACACTCACTCCATACTCAACCCAACTACAGTCAGACAAGCCCTGACAGCTACTCACTCATTACACACTCACATGCTCAAACGCACTGATACATACCCACACTCCACGCCTTTACATCCACACACCCTTGCACTCTCAGAGGTACTCACATTCGAATACATACTCACCCACCCTCCTACCTGTGGGGGGCCAGAAGCTGCACATCTATGCACTGAGTTGGACAGGGTGGCAGTGTGTGTATGGGGGGGTGGGCACAGGACTGGGAGTACCAGGTCAGGGGTTGCGATACTCCAAACAAGACATGGGGGTCAGGACATGGGGTTGGGAAGTCTAAGTTTTCTTTTAAATTTTTAATTTTTTTTTTTTTTTTTTTGAGACAGTTTTGCTCTTGTTGCCCAGGCTGGAGTGCAATGGCGCGATCTCGGCTCACCACAACCTCCGCCTCCTGGGTTCAGGCAATTCTCCTGCCTCAGCCTCCTGAGTAGCTGGGATTACAGGCACGCGCCACCATGCCCAGCTGAATTTTTGTATTTTTAGTAGAGATGGGGTTTCACCATGTTGACCAGGATGGTCTCGATCTCTTGACCTCGTGATCCACCCGCCTCGGCCTCCCAAAGTGCTGGGATTACAGGCATGAGCCACCGCGCCTGGCCTAATTTTTTTTTTTTTTGAGATGGAGTTTCGATCTTGTTGCCCAGGCTGGAGTGCAGTGGCACGATCTCGGCTCACCACCACCTCTGCCTCCTGGGTTCAAGCGATTCTCTTGCCCTAGACTCCCAAATAGCTGGGATTACAGGCGTGTGCCACCATGGCAGCTAATGTCTTTAGGTTTTCAGATCACAACCCAAATTTTCAGAGCAAGGGACCGGGAGGTGGGAGGTTTGAAGGCTGTGACCGAGTCCGAGTGCCTGGGCAGACACATACCATAGCTGTTGACAAATACTTGCTGAATTAGCAAACAGCAGGATCCACGAAAACTTCTGATTTCCGGCCGGGTGCGGTGGCTCAAGCCTGTAATCCCAGCACTTTGGGAGGCCGAGGCGGGTGGATCACGAGGTCAAGAGATCGAGACCATCCTGGTCAACATGGTGAAACCTCGCCTCTACTAAAAATACAAAAAAATTAGCTGGGCATGGTGGCACATGCCTGTAGTCCCAGCTACTCAGGAGGCTGAGGCAGGAGAATTGCCTGAACCCAGGAGGCGGAGGTTGCGGTGAGCCGAGATCGCGCCATTGCACTCCAGCCTGGGTAACAAGAGCGAAACTCCGTCTCCAAAAAAAAAAAAAAAAAAAAAACTCTTCTGATTTCCAACTGGTAGAGCAGCCTGCCTCACAGTTTAGAAACGCAGGCAGCAGGAGAGTCAGGGCCATCTTACCCTCTGAAGTCAACGAATCCACACCCTTACTGCAGTTCTGCAGAGCAGGGAGCTGAGTCTCAAACACAGATGACTCACACGAAGCTACTGGGTAAGGAAGTGCCCCCCACCCCCAGCCCTGGGTCCCCAGTCTCACAGTATGCTTTCTAAGCCCAAAGACATCTGACCCAGAGAGAAGCCTCAGGGCGTCCAGCTGCCAGAGGCTGAATAGAAAGTGATAATGGTCTGGGCTGTCCCAGGAATTTGGACTCTCGCTAGGAAAGAGGAGGACTTGTAGGGGGACCCTTGAGGTGCGCAGGGTCAAAGAGGCCAGCAGACACCTGCGGAAGGGCTTCTGGAAAGTCTTATGTAAAAAAAGAGTATCTCCTGGCTTTTCTGCTAGAGAGTTTATTATTTTGAGACGGAGCCTTGCTCTGTTGCTCAGGCTGGAGTGCAATGGCATGATCTTGGTTCACTGCAGCCTCTACCTCCTGGGTTCAAGTGATTCTCCCACCTCAGCCTCCTGAGTAGCTGGGATTACAGATGCCTGCCATCAGGTAATTTTTGTGTGTTTTTAGTAGAGACCGAGTTTTACCATGGTTTTTTAAAATTTTTTTGGATATTTTTAGTAGAGATGGGGTTTTACCATGTTGGCCAGGCTGGTCCCGAACTCCTGACTTCAAGTGATCTGCCTACCTTGACCTCCTAAAGTGCTGAGATTACAGGTGTGAGCCACTGTGCCTGGCCCTTATTATTTTTTGAGATAAGGTCTTGTTCTGTCATCCAGGATGGGTGCAGTGGCACAAACATGGCTCACTGCAGCCTCCATCTCCATCAGTGACCCTCTTACCTCAGCCTTCCAAGTAGCTGACACCCCAGCCATGTGCCACCACGCCTAATTTTTCAAATTTTTTGTAGGGATGAGATTTTGCCATGTTCCTCAGGCTGGTCTTGAACTCCTAGCTTCAAGCGATCCTCCCATCTCAGCCTCCCAAAGCGCTGGGATAACAGGCATGAGGCACAGCACCTTGCCTATGTATTTATTATTTCATCAAATATTTATTGGCTGGGTGTGGTAGCTTACACCTGTAATCCCAGAACTTTGGGAGGCTAAGGTGGGTGGATCACTTGAGGCCAGGAGTTTGAGACCAGTCTGGCCAACATGACAAGACCCTATCTCTATTAAAAATACAAAAATTAGCTGGGCATGTTGGCAGGTGCCTGTAGTCCCAGCTACTTGGGAGTCTGAGGCAGGAAAATCTCTTGAACCCAGGAGGCAGAGGTTGCAGTGAGCTGAGATTGTGCAACTGTACTCCAGCCTGAGTGACAGAGCAAGACCCTGTCTCAAAAAACAAAAAACATTTAAGCATCTTTTTTTTTTTTTTTTTTTTTTTTTTTTTGAGACGGAGTTTCGCTCTTGTTACCCAGGCTGGAGTGCAATGGCGCAATCTCGGCTCACCGCAACCTCCGCCTCCTGGGTTCAGGCAATTCTCCTGCCTCAGCCTCCTGAGTAGCTGGGATTACAGGCATACGCTACCATGCCCAGCTAATGTTTTGTATTTTTAGTAGAGATGGGGTTTCACTATGTTGACCAGGATGGTCTCGATCTCCTGACCTCGTGATCCACCCGCCTCGGCCTCCCAAAGTGCTGGGATTACAGGCTTGAGCCACCGCACCCGGCCAGCATCTTTAATTTTTAAAAATTTTTATTTTTTAGAGACAGGGTTCCATCTGTTGCCCAGGCTGGAGTACAGTGGTGCAATCTAAGCTCACTGCAACCTCAACCTCCTAGGCTCAAGTGATCTTCCCACCTCAGCCTCCAGAGTAGCTGGAATGACAGATGTGTACCACCACATTGAGCTAATTTATTATTTTTATTTTTTTGTAGATACGATGCCCTGCCATGTTACTCAGACACTTCAGGTCTCTAACTCTTGAAGTGAACCTCCTGCCTTGGCCTCCCAGAATGCTGGGATTATAGGTATAAACCACCTAGCCTGCTTGGCCACTTTTTTTTGAGGTGGAGTTTAGCTCTTGTTGCCCAGATCGGAGTGCAATGGGATGATCTCGGCTCACTGCAACCTCCGCCTCCCAGGTTCAACCGATTCTCCTGCCTCTGCCTCCAGAGAAGCTGGGATTACAGACAGGCACCATAACGCCTGGCTAATTTTTGTATCATTAGTAGAGACAAGGTTTCACCATATTGACCAGGCTGGCCTCAAACTCCTGACCTCAGGTGGTCTGCCAGCCTTGGTCTCCCAAAGTGGGTGAGCTATCATGCCCAGCCTCCCAAGCACCTTTTTAAAAATGCCAGACTGGCTGTGGTAGGCACCAGGAATACTATGACTGACATATTATAAGATACACCTGGCTGGGCGTGGTGGCTCATGCTTGTAATCCAAGCACTTTGGAGGCCAAGGTGGGTGGATCACCTGAGGCCGAGAGTTCAAGACCAGCCTGGCCAACACGGTGAAACTCCATCTTAAAAAAAAAAAAAAAAAAAAAGATATACCACAATATCAGGTAGAAAGCATCTGGATGCCAGTAAGAGGAAATCAGACTCAATGTGGCTTGGGCAACAGTGGTAATTGGCTCACATAGCTGAAAATTTTAGATGAAAGCTTCAGGTGAGCCTTGATCCAGCATCCATGTCCTTTCTGTCTCTTTTCCTTCCATGCTGTCAGCCTCATCCTAAGGCTACATCCTCTGTGGTTTAAGAGAGCTGTCCGTGGCTCTTGGGCCACATGCTTCCTGGTTAATGTTCCACAGACAAGATGGAACATGTTTGTCACAGCTGTTTCAGTAAACATCCTAAGGTACACTCTGATTGGATCAGCTTGGTCATGTGCCCACTCCTCATGTGTCCCACTTCTGGTTCCAAGAACGATGTCAACTTCCTCTGAAAAAAAACGGATTCCCAAATGGAAGCTGAGGACTGTTCCTGCCTTCATGGAACTTAAATTAGTGGAGGATACTGCAAATACAAGCAACCAGAGGCAATCTGGACAGCATTCAGTCAAGTGCAAGGCCCTTTTAAGGCCCACGTCACCTTCCCATGGCTCTCCACCTTTATATTGAGACCCGAAGGATGAGAAGGAATTAGCCTGGGGGATGCTCCAGGGAGAGGTAACAGCTTGTCCAAAAGCCTGAAGGCAGGAGATGAGTGTTCCCTGTAAGAACTGGACAGAGTTAGTGTTGCTGGAGCTTAGAATGCCAGATGAGACTAGAAGGGTGTGTGGGGCCAGGTTAGGCAAGATCCAGATCAGGGAGGTTCTGGGAAACCACAGCCTCCTACCATTCTTGCTTAGTGGCCCCTATAAGCTTATCCATTACCAGCCTAGGGTGTCAGGAAGGAGTCAGCTTGGGGCCAGTTGCCACCCTGGATAGAGACCAGACTCACGCGGTGCGGTGAGGGGCCTGGGTGTCAGGAGCTCCAAGTTACTCCGAGACCCAGAGCAATTCCTACTACTGCTCTTTACCTCAGTTTCTCCCTGAGGGCCACAGGGACGTTGCATGAGATGATTTGAGCCCTAATTTCCTTTCCCAGGCCTAGCATTCTGATTCTTTTCTAGGGTCCTAACAGCCTTAGATTCAGATGAGAGAGGGCAGGATGTGAGAAAAGGGACTGAGACACAGCTGAAGCAGAGCGTTCCTGAAAGGCACACATGAAACCAGAAGGCAGCAGCAATGGGAGGGGACTTGGCTGAGAGGACCTGGAATGCCAAGTGTAAGAATTAGAAGATTCAAGTGAGGGGGTGGGAAAATGTATCCAAAACGGCACTTAAGGAAGGTGGATTTTGAGCTGGGTGCAGTGGCTCACACCTGTAATCCTAACGTTTTGGGAGGCTGAGGTGGGTGGATCACCAGAGGTCAGGAGTTCAAGACCAGCCT